CCCTTGGGGGGTTCTGAAGACCCCAGAAGATGGACAGGCTATTATGCCAAGTTCTGAGGAGAGAGAATTCAAATGGTTTTGTGCCCTAACGGAGTCTGTAGTCAAATGGGATTTAGTGTTCTCAGAGGTAAGCATAAGGACGCTGTGGATGTGTGGTGGAGAGAGTGTGCAGAAGGGGGGATCTCTAGTCTGGAGAATTCTCAGAGTCAGGGGGTGATGGAGCATGGGAGAGGAGGATGTAGGCAGTGGGAGGAAAAGGGGACTACAGGCAGGGTGCACAGCTTGGGCAAAGGCCTGGCTGGGGTGGGAGAGCCATGCAGTGTGCTTGGTGGGGACAGAATTGTTGGATGGTGTAGAGACCCCCAGCTCTTGGCTCCATCACATCTCTTCCTAGGTAGCAGGTGACCGAGGCCAGGTACCAGGTACTTAGACCTGCTTTTTTCTGGGAGCCCATCATGGCTCCGTGGTCCACCCCCACCCCGCCCCCATGGCTAGTGTGGAGAAGGGGCTTCAAGCAGAGCCAGGGTAGCTGTTCCTTCTGAGTCCAGAGGACTGGATTGGGGTAGTTGCCCAGGGATGAGAGGAGGGAGGAGAGCCTGGCCTGGGGGTGGCCTGTTACTGCTTCTAAAACCAGCCAAGGCCTTGCTTTTCCCCTGTCCTTGCAGGGGCAACAAGGCCATGAAGGGTTTCTGCAACTCAAGACCTGCGCTGGGCCGGGAGGGAAGGTCCCTGGGCACTGATCGCTTGAGCTATTTGTACCAATTATCTCCCTCCCCCTCCCAAATGGTTAGTCAAAGGCTTCAAAGCCCTAGGTGCTGGGCCCTGAGGCTGGGGTTCGCAAGGCTTGGGGAACCCCGGCCTGAATGTCCGGTGGCTCTTACCCTCGGGGGCCCCTCCCTGTGCGTGTGCCTTCGTGTTACTGCAAGGCCCTCCACACACCTGTTGCTGAGCTTGCCCTGATTGGTCAGCCTGTGCTGATTCCCAGGGAGGGGTCAGGCCCTGAAGGCCAGCTGCCGGGGAAGGAGCAGTCCCCGCCTAGCAAGTGGGGCAGTCGCAGCGCTCCCCTGTGGAGGGGACCCGGAGGAGAGCGCCTGCAGCAGCACCTGGCATGCCGAGCACGGCTGGGAGCACCCCTCAGAATGCCCTCTGCAGCCCCTAGGTGCAGCACAGCCCCCACCAGCTGCTGCGTCCCAAACTGGAGTCCTTTAGTCTTGCCTTGGTGCTCCCTCTTGGCAGCCGCTCACTCGTGAGTCTGACTGTCCGTCCCTGTCCCTGCCGCCTGCCCCCACCACTGGCCCAGCCCTGTGTCTCACCTGTTTCTGTTCTCCATGCTGCTGCTGGGAGTTCTCCTGTGGTCTGGGCCTGCGCCTCCCTTGCTCCAGGCTTCCCCCTGCTCCCAGAAACATTTGTCCTCACCAGGCCAGGCACCCCCTGTCCCACACCCTTCCCAGCAGCCCCGTTGCCCCTGCACTCCCCTCGAGCCAGCACTGGCCTCCTGGGGGTCTCCAGACTGCACCTCACTCCTTCCTGCCCCAGACAGTTGCTCTCTGTCCCCGTGTCTGCCTTACTCCCAGAGTCAGCCCCTCAGTGACACCCAGTTGTATCACTCCCTGTGTCTCCCCACCAGACGACTGCATGTGGAGACAGCCAGTCTTCTTTAGAGCTGTGTCCCCTGAGCCTTGTGGTTTATCAGGGTGGGTTGGATGAATGAGTCCCCATTTTACAGATGAACAAACCAAGGCACAGAGGTGAGGGGCTGGCATCTGAAACCAGGTCTGGGGTTGGGAGGTGCTCTGACTCCACCACAGGCCTCTCCTGTGTCGGTCCTCTGCCTTACAGTGTGAGGCTTCCAAGCTGGGGGTCCAGAGCTCTCTTTCAGGGACTGGGAGCTAGCTTCTCCCTTGACCCCCTTGACTCTGGTCACTTGGGCCCCAGTACCTGGAGCGCTTCCTTTTGGCAGCCTTGGGAGTTGGGTTGGGGCTGTGAGGCCCCTGGAGCAGGCTCTGGGTTCTGTCCTTTGCCTGCACTCAGTGCCTCAGTTTCTCCTTTCTCCAAACAGAGGGTCAGCTTCTAGCCCATCTGGCACTGAGTTTGAGGCCCTGGAAGGAGTGTGCTCCTTCTGATGGGAGGGTCCTTGTCTCCGCCTCGCCCCCTGATGACCCTAAATTGTTTTTCCTGGCAGTGACCGTGATTTTGATGATGACAAGGAGGCAGAGGGCATAGCCAAGGGAAATCGCAAGTTTCAGTGCCCGCACAGACCCTGGTTTGAATCTTGTCCCTACTACTTACTCACCAATGACCTTGGGACAGTTCTTAGCTTCCCCATGGCCTCGGTTTTCCCATCTGAGAACTGGGAGTATGAAATTGGCCCCATAGGTTTGCTAAGAGGGTTCAAAGAACTTCCTGCAGGTCACCTGTCAGCTCTTTGGAAGCATGGGTGCTGGGAGGGGCGGGGCCTGCTGGTGTCTCAGGGTTCCACCACATGTAGCAACTTAGTGAGGACAGACTGAATTTGCACGATTGGGTTGGTCTTATCAACATTTCTTTCCAAATGGAGAAGTAGAGATTTGGAGTTCCTGCTCTCAGGAGCGAGTTGGTTCTGGAGCCAGCACTTACTTGTCCATGAGTGCATGGCTGCTTCTCTTTGTCTGTACAGCCTTCTGTGAGCCCGGTGGTACCAGATAGGGCCCCTGTGTCCCAGCGCTCAGCCCATGGAGGCAGCTCAGAATGGACTCGCTAGTCAATGAAAGATGTGAAAGATGCATGAAAGTAATCTGGGAGTGAGGGGAAACAGCTGGGGGCTCTAGTTGGTACCTGCCCCAGGGCCTTTGCACACCTGCTTTCCTCCTTTCTCCTTACCAGCCAGATTCTTCTAATACCCACAATGCCCATTCAGGACCACCGCCTTCTATATTTTAATAGAACTGCAGGGGACTCACTTTTACTATGGGTACAGTCGTAAAGCCACATTGTCCTTCAGAGCCCTTTTATGAGTGCTCTCGGAGTATTGGACATGCCCAGTTCTGGACTGGAATGTGCTGGAATGTGCAGTGATGGAATAGGCTGTGCTGCAGAAATTCACATTTGAGAGGTGCCTACGCTCTCTGCGCGGGGTCACAGACAGTTCCTTTTTTTTTTTTTTTTTAAATTATTCTTATGTATTTTAGAGGGGGGCGGGCAGAGGAAAAGGGAGAGAGAATCCCAAGCGGACTTTGTGCTGAGCATGGAACATACTATCTATTTTTGTAAATAAGCAGTATGATCACCAGGATCAAAAAGAGTGTTTATGGCAAGTATGGATTCTTTCTTTCTTCCTTCCTCGGCTTTATTGAGATGCACATACCATGGAGTCCATTTAAAGTGTACAATTGAACAGTTTTTAGTACAGTTGAACCTTGAATGACGAATGGGTTAGGGGCACTAACACCCCCACCAATGCGCATACGAAGTCGAAAGTCCACATACAACTTTTGATTCCCCCAAAACTTAACGGCCTACAGGTGACCAGAAGCCTTACTGATAACATAAACAGTCAATTAACACGTATTTTGTATGTTGTATGTGTTATATACAATAAAGTAAGCTAGAGAAAAAAGTTACTAAGAAAATCCTAAGATTTGCTGGCAGGCTCAGTCAGTAGATGGGACTCTTGATCTTGGGGTCGTGAGTCTGAACCCCACCTTGGGTGTAGAGATTACTAAAAAAAAAAAAATCATAAGGAAGACAGAATATATTTACAGTCCTGAACTATTGAAAAATTCTGCGTATAAGTGGACCCACACAGTTCAAGTCCCTGGTGTTCGAAGATAAACTAGGTATATTCAGAGTTGGGTGCGTATGACTACAATTTTAGACCATTTTACGTTATGGCAAGAAGAAACCTCCGCATCCTTCTGCTTGCTACCCCACACCCCACCTAGCCCCTGGCAACCACTAGTCTGCTTGTTTTGGCTCCGGATTTGCCCATTTTAGACATGTTACATAAACGGGATCATACAGTACACAGTTCTTTTGTCCGCCTTCTTGCATTTAGCATATTGTTTTCAAGGTTCACCCATAGAATAGTATGTATCAGTGCTTCATTCGTTTATATGGTTGAGTAATATTCCATTATATGGCTGGAGTATATTTTATTTAGCCATTCATGAGTCGACGGATGTTTGGGTTGTTCCCGTATTTCTGGCGATCGTGAATGGTGCCGTATACATTCACATACAGGTGTTCCTGTGGATATAGGTGTTCATTTCTCTTGGGTATAATTCTGAGGAATGGAATTGCTGGGTCATGTGGTAGTTCCATGTTTAATCATTTGAGGAACTGCCAGACTGTTTTCCATAGCAACCGCACCATTTTACACTCCCACCCGCAGTGTAGGAGGATTCCGATCTCCTCCTTGCCAACACTTGTTGTCTGTCTTTTTTATTCTCGCCAGCCTAGCTGGTATGAAATGGTGTTTCGTTGTGGTGTGCATTTGCATTTCCCCGCCGACTAGTGATCTTCCCGTGCAGCCTCAGGGTTTCTTGAGTGGTCATTCAGTCATTCAGCCAGCAGTGATCGGGGGTCACGGGCTCAGTGCTGCGGACGCAGTGTGAAGACTCTGATGCCCCTGCCCCTTTGGCGTTTCAGTGCCCAGTGCCCTTCAGAGTTACCCCGTGTGTGTCGCGCTCGTGATGGTTAACGCTCACGGAGTTCACATTGTGTTAACTCATTTTGTGTTCAGACACACGTGTAAGTATGCTTTTGCCCACCCCTTGTCTGCAAGGGGCGGCCGGCAGCCACCCGGGCCTGGAGCTGACATTACTGATTTGACGGTCTGTCTTAGAGGCCAGTCCGTGCCGGGACCGAGGGTGTGGGTGGCACCAGGAGATTCTCACCCTGTGGATGTCTGCCCCCACATGTCTCCCCGCAGCAGGTGAGGGTCGTGAGAGGGGCGCGCCAAGTCTGCTGCCTGACCCCGTGTCTCCATCTGTCTTGCCCTGTCTCCCCCCTCCCCTGTGCAGCTGCCGCCATGGCCCAGACCCTGCAGATGGAGATCCCGAACTTCGGAAACAGCATCCTGGAGTGTCTGAATGAGCAGCGGCTGCAGGGCCTGTACTGTGACGTGTCCGTGGTCGTCAAGGGCCACGCCTTTAAAGCCCACCGGGCCGTGCTGGCGGCCAGCAGCTCCTACTTCCGGGACCTGTTCAACAGCAGCCGGAGCGCGGTGGTGGAGCTGCCGGCCGCCGTGCAGCCCCAGTCCTTCCAGCGGATCCTTAGCTTCTGCTACACGGGCCGGCTGAGCATGAACGTGGGCGACCAGTTCCTGCTCATGTACACGGCCGGCTTCCTGCAGATCCAGGAGATCATGGAGAAGGGCACCGAGTTCTTCCTCAAGGTGAGCTCCCCCAGCTGCGACTCGCAGGGCCTGCACGCCGAGGAGGCCCCGTCGTCCGAGCCCCAGAGCCCTGTGGCGCAGACGTCAAGCTGGCCGGCCTGTGGCACCCCGCTGCCCCTCGTGTCCCGGGTCAAGACGGAGCAGCAGGAGTCGGACTCCGTGCAGTGCACGCCGGTGGCCAAGAGGCTGTGGGACAGCGGCAGCAGCGGTGGTGGCAATGGCAGCCGCAAGATGGCCAAGTTCTCCACACCGGACCTGGCTGCCAACCGGCCGCCCCAGCAGGCCCCGGTGGTGGCGGCGGCACAGCCGGCCGGGGGGGCTGTGGTGGCGGCGGCGGGGGCCGGCACTGGGCAGCCGGCCGGGGGGGCGGCGGCGGCGGCGGCAGGGGGCGTGGTAAGCGGGCCCAGCACGTCAGAGCGGACCAGCCCGGGCACCTCGAGCGCCTATACCAGCGACAGCCCTGGCTCCTACCACAATGAGGAGGACGAGGAGGAGGACGCAGGCGAGGAGGGCACGGACGAGCAGTACCGGCAGATCTGCAACATGTACACCATGTACAGCATGATGAATGTCGGCCAGACAGGTGAGGTGCCCGCCCTGCCCAACCCTCCCCAGCCCGGCCCCTGCTTCCCACGCCCCCCTCCCCCCCCCCCCCCCCGCCCCCGGTCCCGTCCCCGACACATGCTGCTCTCTGCCCCCCCCCCGAAGCCGAGAAGGTGGAGGCCCTCCCTGAGCAGGTGGCCCCCGAGTCCCGGAATCGCATCCGGGTACGGCAAGACCTGGCGTCTCTCCCAGCTGAGCTCATCAACCAGATTGGCAACCGCTGCCACCCCAAGCTCTACGATGAGGGTGACCCCTCCGAGAAGCTGGAGCTGGTGACAGGTGGGCCAGCATCACTTCCTCCCCAGATTCCCCACTTCCTTCCATGTTGGGCCTCTGTGCCCTCCGAGCGAGTGGCTTGTTGGGTGGTGGTTAGGAGCCAGAGACTTGGGGTCCAACCCCACCTCTTCTGCCACCCACTGGCTGTGTCCTAGGGCAGCTCACCACCCCGCCCCACTTGGCACTGATACGTGCCAGAGACTGGCCTCCAGGTTTCCCCCCCAGAGGCTGGTATGAGCGTTGTCTAGCATCATCGGCCACGTGGGGAGATGAGTGGCTTCGTAGGGTGCTTGGAGGGTTGACTAATACAGTGGTTAAGAATCTTGGCTCTTGGTGTGAGCTTCCACTGCCTATTCTTTCTGATGCCCAGGTGGTTGTGTGGGCAAAAGCCACACATGTGCAAGCAGGGCCCGGCATATTGTAGGTGCCCCGTGGACAGTGGCACCACCAGCTGTCCTTTCCTGATCGCTGACGAGGCCATGCTGGGGCGAGTTGTCAGGGAGCGTCTTGGCCGGGCCCAGGCCAGGGCCTGGCCAAGTGGGGAACGTGGCAGTCTGGGACTCCCGGCCACCCTCCTGCTCCCCACTCCAGGTACCAATGTGTACATCACGAGGGCGCAGCTCATGAACTGCCACGTCAGCGCGGGCACGCGGCACAAGGTCCTGCTGCGGCGCCTCCTGGCCTCCTTCTTCGACCGGTGAGGCCCTCACAGAGCCCGGATGGAGGGGAGGGGGGCTGCCCCCGGCCCCCCGCCGCAGGGGGCCTGACTCCCCTCCCTCGTGCCCCCCACCTAAGGAACACGCTGGCTAACAGCTGTGGCACCGGCATCCGCTCTTCCTCCAACAACCCCAGCCGCAAACCGCTGGACAGTCGCGTCCTGCACGCTGTCAAGTGTGAGTGTCTGGCCTTCTGGAGTCAGGCTGGGGTGGGGTCTGGGCCAGGCAGATGGTCCTCTTCGCTGATAGGTGGGTGGGGGTTAGTGTTAAGAAGGTTTCTGAGGCCCAGTCTGGGCTTGTCAGGAAGAGGGCTGGGATGGGTTAGAGATTTCTTCATAGTGGTGGTGGGGGCTGGTCCTTGGGGAGTCATGGGAGCACTGAAGCAGCCAGGCCCCAGGCATTCGTCAGGAGAGAGGTCTAGGTTTTCACGTGGCATCTCCCCATTTCCTAAATTCTGGCAAATGACCCAGGTTTTTCAAGAGCACTGGGCCACCCTCTCAAGCCCCACACGTGGCCGAGCTCAGTCAGTCATGGGGCCAACTGATGTGGTTTAGCGTCCTGGCTTGCGAGTCCTCCATTCCATCACCTCTGAGGGGGGTTCGGGGGCTGTGCACGCGCGTTTGGGGGTCAAGGAGCAGTGTGGCCGAGTAGCTGTCATCAAGGTGAGAGGCCAGGGCCACGCCGTGCCTGAGCCATCGACTCTGCCCTCACAGACTACTGCCAGAACTTCGCTCCCAACTTCAAGGAGAGCGAGATGAACGCCATCGCAGCTGACATGTGCACCAATGCCCGCCGCGTTGTGCGGAAGAGCTGGATCCCCAAGCTCAAGGTGCTCATGGCCGAGGGAGACGCCTACACCACCTTCATCAGCGACACGGGCAAGATAGAGCCGGACATGATGGGTGTGGAGCATGGCTTCGAGACGGCCAGCCACGACGGCGAGGCCGGCCCCTCGGCCGCCCCCCCCCAGTAACTACCGCCGGCCCCTCCCCGCGGGGCCGTCACAGCCCCCCCCCCTCCCCCCCCCCCCCGTCACACCCGCCCACCCTCTTGGTCACGAGCTACTGTCTGTCCCTCCCCAGGACCCGCGGGGGGCGCTGCATGCTCCCAGCCCCTCTGCCTCCCCATCCCACTCTCCGGCCCCCATGTGAGCGGCTAGGAGAGGGCAGCAGCTGGTGCGGGCTCTGCGCTGCCTTTCTAGTGCGCTCGGGCACCGTCGGGGGGCTTCTGCTCCCCCTCCCCTAGCCCCCAGCTGTGGTCTCCCCACTCACCAGGCCAGGTGTGGGGAGGGGCCGGCCTGGGGGGCTCAGGAAGGCCCCCTCCCCAGGCCCTGGGCCCCTTGCTGCACCCCCTTGGGACTTGCAGGGGCCCCAGGGTTCTCAGGACCCCTCCTGCCACCACCTCCCAGTGCTTCCATGTTTCCAAAAGCGCCTTCCTGTCTCCCTCGTCTGTCCCTGCGCCTGGGGGCTGGGGTAGGCGAGGCCGAGGGAACTGCCCATTTCACAGCTGAGGGAGCCGAGGCCCAGAGGAACTCCACCATTGACCTAAGGTGGTGGGCGGTGGCGGGCCCGGTGCCCTTCTCTCTCCCCCACCCCATGCCCACCTCTGTTGCCCCCATCTGTCTCCTGGGGCCTGAGAGGGGCAGGTCCCGAGTTGGGGGCTCTTGGGGGCAGACTGAGGGTCTCGGTGAATAGAACGAGAGGTTTCCTGGGCTCACAGAAGTGTGTGCGTGTGAGTGCGCGCGTGTGTGTGTAGAGGTTGTGCTTTTAAACAAATGAAGATATGAGGGGCAGTAGGGCCAGGGCTGGAAGTCAGGGGAGCAGGCTGGGGGGCTGCTGCCCTTCCCCCCCACCACCACCCCCCGCCCTGCCCCCTGTACATACTTTTTAAAGCATTTTTTTAGCTAATGAAATATTGAAGTATAAGATTCCTTTTATTTTTCAAACCAACGGGACTGTGTCTGATGTCCCCTTCAGTCCCCGGGGACGTGGCAGGCAGGACGGGGTGGGGGCTGGGGGCGGGCTGAATGCGTGCGTGTGTGTGGAGTGTGGGTGCGCATTTCTGAGGTGGGGACTTGGCCGGGCCTCTGCTCGGGCTCCTGTGGGTCTGACCGGGTCCCCCCTGCCCTTGCTCTGCTGCTCCCCAGCGGGGCTCCATTTGAAGGGTGGCCCTGGCCTTGGCCCATTGGCTGAGCCCAGCTTCTGGGGACGAGGCAGGGCCTGCTTCCATTGTTAACAGTTTGCAGAATTTTCTCTAACCATTCCTCTCTTTAGATCCTCGCCAGCGCGAGGGGTTTTGTGTTTTTGAGTTTTACATGTGAACTTTGGAGGGTTTTTTTTTTTTTTTTTAACTCCCTGTCCCCTCCACACTGGGTGTCCTTTCTTCACAATTTTTACCTTTTTCTTTCTAGCCCCGTCCCCACGGCCTCTCGTCTCCTCCCCGATCTGACCCGCCCATTGCTCCCGTTGCTCCCAGAGGCCTCTCCAGAGGCAGGGGGATTGCCGGATGTGGTGGTGGTGGTGGGGGCGGTTGGCTAGCCCTGACGGGACCTTTGGAATCTGACTTGGAGACCTCCCCCACCGCCCAGCAGCCCCCACCAGTCTGTGACATCTCATTGTGGGGGTGTGGGGGGGGTGTCTGGTCTGGCCATCTGCTTTCCTGGCCTGGCCCCTGCACCTTAGCGCTCAGCTGGCCCAGTGTATGGGGGGAGTCGACGCCCCAGCTAAAGCACAAGCACCTTAGTCGCACCTCCCCCACGCCCTTGTCCTGGCCTTGACATCCTACCCCAGCATCGATCCCAAAGCACAATATCCTGGTCACTTGGCAAGCTGCCGGGCTGGCCAAGGCCGAGGGGCCGGCCAGGGCTCCAGCCAGAGCCCACAAGGAAGGAGTCCCTAGGCGCTCCCCTCCTTCCAGGCCTTAGCAGGGGCCAGCTCTCTGGGACTGGGGTCTTCTCCCTCCCCACCCCTTTGTCCTGGACAGGCCCCTGCCCAGCCCCTCCCTGCCTTGTCCTCGGGTGGGGCTTGCCCCTGTCCCTCCTCCAAGCCCCTGCAGCACTGGGTTGGGTGGCAGAGCCCTCTCATTTCAGGGACCCCAGGAGGTGCCCCTGGCTCCCGGGACTGTGTGTTTGGTGGGGGGAGGGGAGGGGAGGGGCCGGGCAGGGGTGCAGGGGAGGAAACTCCTCGCCAGGAGAGCCAAAGACAGGGTTGTGCCTTACCCCAGGAGCCACCCCTGCGCCCCTCCCACCCCACCCTCCCCACCTCTTGGGAGGCCTGCTGCTTTTCCTTCTCTCCCTCCCCTCCCCTGCCCTGCTCTGAGCTGCATGGTCCCCCCCACCCCGGGCAGCCCAGGGAGGAGCACGAATGGAGAATCACCAACCAACGCAAAAAAAAAAAAAAAAAAAAAGACTGTGGGCCCCCCCCCCCCCGCCTCCCCTGGCCGCCCACTCCCGCCTCTTTCACGCAGGACAGACCGCCCGCCCTGTCCGTGTGAAGTGCCAACGCCCTCCCCGCCCTGGGCCGACCCCCCACTCCCCGGGCCCGTAAGTGAGATTGCACATTAACTACTGTAAGGAGAGGAGCCGCACTGGGAAATGTGAACCATGAGAATATCAGTGACACTGATGAGGAGAATAAACTAAACGCCTTTGTAACAGCCCTGCCGCATTCTGCTCTCTGGGGGCGCGGGGCCCAGGAAGGGACAGTCACTGCACACGAAGGCTCAGTGCGCTCAGGAACAGCCATTCCAGACATCACATCCCAGAACATCAGTGTGAGAGGAGAGGGGCAGTGTCCCCCTTTCAGATGGGGAAACAGGTTGAAACCCAAGCTGCCAGTAGCTTCCCCCTAGAATGGGGCACCTGGCTGGCTGGCTCAGTCGGTAGAGCATTCTACTCTTGATCTTGGGGTCGTGAGTTCAAGTCCCACATTGGGTGTGGAGCCTACTTTAAAAACGTAGCTTCTTGCAGCACCCTTCTGGCTACCCTGGTGTGTACAGATACGGCGCCCCCAGGGCTGTTCTGCACATGCGTGGGTCCTAGGTCTTGTGTCAGGGTCCCACAGGATCACCCCCAAGAAGGGCCTCCATTGAATTGGCTGCATGACCGACTGACTGGCTCACTCCCCTTCTGTGGCTGTTTGACACCCCCAGCCCCAGATACACATCCTGAACACACCCACACCCTTCACTGCATCTGAGCCAGCGCACCCACGCACTCCTGCATCAGAAGGAACACAAGAGTTGAGATGGCAAGTTAAATTCAGCCGGTGTCCTTTAAAATACCTTGGAGAGCTGTAGGTCCTGAGGATAGGGAAGGACAAAATGTTCTCGAGTCAGACGGAAAAGACACAGATGGGCCCTAGGGTCCCCCTGATTCAGAAATGTTTCTAGTAATGGGGGAAGGTTGTTCACGGATGTTAGGGATCCCATTAAGTCAGAAAATATTTGCCTTGAAGTGGGAAAGGAGGCTTCATCCCCTGCCCAGGTCAGGCCCGTCCACTCCCTGATTAGGGGGAACATCCAGAATCATGGGGAGATGATGAAGTGGGATTTCAGTTCCTAGGGAGGCCCAGGTGTACTTCAAGAAAACCAGCCCCAGCCTCAGTTGCCAGAAAGTAGGGTTTTGAGAGCCAGCAGCATCAACAGAAAAACCAGTCACCTCGGGTAACAGGAAGTCTCATCTGTCTTACCAAGTAGGCAACCCCAGGTAAGTGCAAACACCGTCTGACTCCAGAAGTCTCGTCTTCTAACCCCAAGAAGACTTGGAACTAAGTATAAAAAGATCAGGCGAACCCAAACCATAGCATCAGTGGGTTTGCATCAAAAAGGGAACCTGTACCTACTTGGTTCTTTCTAAGGTCTGACAGATCAGCCTAACATGACGACATCCTTGTAAACAGGCGGCATAAATGGGTGGCTGAGATGCGTGGTTCTGCTCTCTGAGTGCGTACTGCGCAGGATGCCAACCTTCAAGACAGTGGGCTAAGGTTCATGGCACTTACAAGTTCTCCCGGCTCACAGGAATCATTTTGCACTCGGGCAAGCTCTGGCAAGGCCGCTGCCTCAGCGACTGGGTGTGCCACGGAGCCCAGTGTTATGGGGCCCCTCAGAAGCGACCGCTAGGCTCCGCGGCTAAGGGGCTGGCCTACGGTAGGGCCCAGAACAAGCAGAAGATGTTGAGGCTAAACTTCAAAAGCTCAAGGGAGAATCAGGGTTGGAATTGTTCAATGTTCTCAGTGGTGAAACCCAGAAATGAACTGGAATGGTCTTTTCCGCACCAAATCCTGACCACTGAGATCCCTAACAGGCCTGTGTGCATGTGTGTGCAAGCAAGTGCGCATGCGTGTAAACGCCTGGGCCCCACAGTGGGTGCAAGCAGGGGGCTTACAACGGGAGTCCCACTTAACGAGCCACAAGTCAACAGACAGTAGGATACAAATGCGTATAAAAAAGGCTGGGCTTTTATTTCCAAATTGGCACGTGTAGAAGGCACAGGAGCAAATGGCTTTGGGGTACCAGAGTAGAAATGGGGAGGAGTGTGTCTGAGGTTCCCCTACCTCTACCACCTCCTAAGCGCACTTGAGACAGGACCAGTGGCAGGGGCTCTGGCCCAGGGCCCTGAGGGTCCCACTGGCTCTGGATGAGAACCTTGGGACAGCTCCCCGGGAAGGAACCACTTCTCCCAGGGGGGCGGGACCTTGCCAACTCCCCGGGCTAGAGGGACCAGCGCCCTCGGGAGGGCCGGGGTCAGAGAAAGAAGAGCAGGATGAGAACCAGAAGAAGCACCCCCAGCAGCACCACAATGGCACACCACTGTCGGCGGTCTGGGGGCAAAAGGGTCAGAGATTACAAGGGGACAGGGTACCACCCTTGCAGCCCTCCCACCACCACCCCAGTTGCCTCCCCAAAGGGACTTACCACTTGTCATGTGGGATACTTTGGCCATCTTCCTGAGGACCCCATCCATCCGGGACTGGGTGTGGTCCATCTCATGAGCGAAGGCATCCAGCATGCTGTTGATACCAAAATGGCGTCAGCCCCCAAAATTCTGCACGCACTAGTGCAGCCAACCGAGGGCTCCCGGCCCACCCCTAGGATCCTGGCCTCACATGCCCTGCTCATCCAGCTCCTCCCCAACACGGCCGGACATGTGTTTCAGAACCCAGATGCTCCCAGACACCATTGCCAGCTGTTGGTCCTGTTGGTCCATGATCAGCTGCAGATCGGAAGAGTGGGAACGGCTGTCAGCAAGGGGCCCTGCGCCGTCCCCAGGCTCCTCCAGCCCAGGATCCCCAGCCACCCACACACACCTGCTGTGTGGCCTGCTGCTCCTCAAGGTAACGAGAGGTGGCTGAGGCCATGCTAGCATCGAGCAGGTCGCTGGATGACTTCTGGGCAACTGGCTTGCCCGTCAGCATCTGTGGGGGCACAGACCGCAGGTTCAGGAAGAGGCGGCCACTCAGAACAGAACCAGACACAGGTTTGTGGCAAATCTAGATGGTTGTTAGGAAGGTAGTCTTGGGAATGGGACAGCCCGGGTTCCCCAGACCCACCCCTTCCTTACTAGCAAGGTGACCCCAAGGCCATATCACTTGACGTCTCTTCGCCTCAGTTTCCTCCTCTGTAAAATGGGGGAAATTCCTGGGGCTGGAATGAGGATTTACCAAATTAATCCATGGAGAACATTTATCAGATAAACAGATGTATTTAAGAATTTGGACTTTGGGGCACCTGGGTGGCTCAGTCGTTAAGCGTCTGCCTTCGGCTCAGGTCATGATCCCAGGCTCCTGGGATCGAGCCCTGCATCGGGCTCCCTGCTCGGTGGGAAGCCTGCTTCTCCCTCTCCCACTCCCCCTGCTTGTGTTCCCTCTCTCACTGTGTCTCTGTCAAATAAATAAAATCTTAAAAAAAAAAAAAAGAATTTGGACTTTAATCCTCAAGGCAGCACACCTGGAAAGCATGTGGGCACTGATACAGGACTCCAAACTCATGCAGGCCTCAGCCCCCCACCCTCCCAGACCCCACGAGGGGATGGAGACAAGCTGGTTTCACAACGTGCAAAGAATGGACACAGGACATAGAGGGAAAAAGTGTGCCAACAGAAGCTGCTGGGAGAGTGCTCACAAAAGGCATGAGCAGGCACACCCTTGGAGGGAAATGGTACGCAAGCCGACCGCAGAGAGGGATCCGCTCAGAGGCCAAGTTCACCCGCTCAGATGCCCAGGTACATACACAGAAACAAAGTAGGCATACATATATCCTGGAAACAGTAACACACCAAGCAAAAAAAGAAAAAGGAAATGGGCATCTAGACCCACACCAGGAGGCAGAAAGGATTATATACACAGAGAGGGCTCAGGTGTACACAGCCAGAAAGAGCAGGGAGGTGGACAGCCAGGAGACAACTGCACACAGAGAAGATGGGCACGGATACAGAAGAGACAGACGTACATGCAAGGGGGACAGGTGAACAGACACAGAGGGTCAGGATTGCACCCAAAGGGGAGGGTCTCTCTGAGAGCCTCAGGTGAGGATGTTGGGTCTGGATGCCTTACCTCTCTATTATTCCTCTCCATGAAGGCTATGGCTGCCGGGCTGACCATATGGTCCTTCATATCCTGGGGGTGGGGACGCCATCAGTGAGTAAAGACACCCCAACCTCCCCACACTCAGGCCACCGGAAACTCTCCTCACCTGGACTGCCTCCCGCATCCGCTCCACGAACACCTTTCTCTCCTGCAGGTCTCCGGCTGGGAGCTTGAACTTTCCTGGGTTGGCTTCCACTATGCGTAAGCCCCGAGTCAGGAGTCAAGGCCAAAGCCAGACACAAGCCCCTCCTCTGCCTCAAGCCCTTAACTCCTCCCAGGTGTCCAGCCGCCCCCCTGCCACAGCAATGGGCTCTCCCAGGACGCCTTGCAACCCCCCAGGATATCGATGGTCTCCTCCAGGTCCTCGAGGTCCCACTCGATGCTGCGAAGGCCATTCCGCAGCTCATTGGTCGTCCAGTCCAGCTCTTCGCGGCCGACCGCCGCGTCCTCTTGCAGGAGCTCGCACCAGCGCTGGTACAGCCCGCGGGCCGTGTTCACCGCCTTCTGCACCTCACTGCGGGCAGGGGCACACACATTGGTCACGCCTGGGGGCAGGCGGTCCTCCCGCCCGCCACTGCGCCCGCAAACGAATGGGGGCCGGGCGCTCAGGATACCCACTTGGCCACGGGTCTACCCTGACCGGCGCACACCGACGGCCGTGCCCAGACCGCCTAGCACGCTCTGGCGGGCACGCGGGCACTAGCTGGCACGGGGACCGAGCACCCTCCTCCCAACCCCCCTCATTGCTGTCACTCACCCTCGGACAACAAAAAATGGGTCTTCGAGAGACATGTCACACGCCCCCCCGCCCGAGGCCGAGCCCCACCTCCCCTCTCGTCTTTGGTAGCCGGTTCCCTCCCAGTAGAGGGGAAAGCTCAGCCACCCCCGCCCCCGTCACGTGACCCATGCCGCCATCGAGAGCGGGGACGGCAGGGTAGAGAGGCCTCGGAGGCCCCAAGTGCGTAAACTTCCGCCCCTCTCACGGCCATCTTTATTGTGGGCAGAGACGGCTTCGCGTCCGCGCAGCCCACCGCCCCCCCGCAGTGTCCCAGTTAGGTTTGGCTGGGTTGGGGGTCGGACCTCGTGATCTCTCGGTTGGAGACCCAGCCCCTGGGATTGTTGCTGCGCAACCTGTTTCCCTTAGGGGCAATGTGAATAATAATAATCTCCTTCAAATCAGAGATTATGGCTGGGGAAGGGGATCATTCGATTCAGAGATCCTCTTAACAGACTTCCTGAGCCTGCACCTTGATTCTGCCCTGGGAGATCGTCCCAGCCTGGGGTTGGGAAGGGCTGGGGGAAGAGGTGGTCCTCCCCACTCTCCCGCGGGGATGGAGGTGCGGAGTCTTGTTGGACTCTTCCTTCCTCTTTTTTTTCCTACAGAGGAGGGGCGCCTCCAGATCGCCCTGGGGCGGGGTGGCTGAGTGGGGGGCCCCAGAGATGCTTCTGGGGTGTGGAGTCGCTCTGCGTCCGAGGCTGGCAGTCGCGGGAGGGGGTGTGGTGGTGGCTCTGAGGATGGTGTGTGCAAGGAAGTCCTCTGCGTGTGGGGTCTCCATCTAGGGAGGCGCCAGGAATGTCTGGAGAGACAGAGTTGACCCTAGTGTGACAGGCGCTCCGTGTGGGGTCTCCGGAAATGCATTTTTTCGGAGGTGAACCATCACCTGAGTGCGGTCGCGGTCTGTTTTTGGAGACATTTGGGCGAGATGTCTGAAGTTCTTGGAGAGTCTGTGTGCCCTTGTGCTTCAGAGTCGCTGAAGAGAGTCTCAGAAATAGCGCCTGGGCCGGGGATGTCATTGTGGATTCGCCGAGGTTGTGAAGGGGAAGACGGGTGCGTCCTTAGCAGGTCGCCTCAGTGTGTGGCAGGATCGCTGAAGAGGGACAGTTTAAACAGCAAATAATTCCTGAGTCCCCATGTGCGGGGGGTGGGGCGGGGGAGGGCTGTGCGTGAGGGTTCTCCAAGGCTGCATGATTTGGCGGGGTGGCGGGGGAGAGGGGAGAAGCAGGAATACCTGGGAGAGAACCTTGTAGGGAGAAATAATTATGGGGTCTCTATGGCGGAACAAGGATGAAGGGGTACTCAGCGAATCGCCCCTCGTATTGGCAAGGTCTTTGTGGAGGGTTTCAGGGAGTTGGCGTCAGTGGAAGCCCTGAGATCGCCCCTATCTGCCGGCGGGGGTTTTCCCGGAGGCGTCACGCCTTCTGGCCTCGGGAGCCCGCGGGGCTGGACTCTGGTCCGGAAGCCGGGGACTACAGCCAGTCCTAGCTGCCGGGAGACCGGGAGGGTAAGGGAGTGGGCGTGTTCGGAGGCCAAGGCACCGCCCCCGCCCGCCCGGAAGGAGGTCGCCACAGCTCCGGGTGGAGATCCCGGCCCCTGTCCTTATATGGGCAGCCGGAAGCGGCTCGCGCGCCTGCCCTACGTCATTATATCCAAATTTAGTCGTGGAAGTCTGGCGCTTCCAGTGGCCGGAAGATTCTGCCTGCCCGCCGGCGGCTGGAGGAGGGGGTGAAAGGGGGGAGAGAGGAGCCTTCACTTAAAGGGCCCTTGCCACGAATGAATGGAGCTGTAGGAACAATTTTGCATCTTATTTTGGAGGAACAGGAAATAGGTTTTCTTGGAGCGATAGGGCGTAGCGGAGGGTGGGGCCGATGTTTTCCATCTATCTGCTCTGTCTCTGCGTTGCTTAGTTTACGGCTCCTACCCCAGCCTCGGTTCCCCGGCCGCAGAGCCACGTGTTCACCCGGACTGTCCTGTTGCCCGGTCCTCCCTCTTGCGAGTAGCTAGCCCACCCGTGGAGCTCGTGTACAGGGAAACTGAGGGCATGTTCGGTGTGGAGTGCAGGAATGGCAGCCCGGGCTGCGCTCGTGTCTGCAGACATCCGCTGCCGGTGGAGTGGGCAGCTATGCCCTGGAGCCATAAGCGCTGCCCGCCGCCTCACTGCCTACAGACAAGGGGACTGAGGAGGGCTGTCTTACGCTAGAAAGACGCAAGAGCTGGAGGCCCCAGGGGCCTACTCGTTCGTTTAGCAAATACTGAACGAGTCACTCTGTCTCGATTTCCCCACCTGAAGAAATCAGGTATAACAGTACCCTCCGCGGAGTGGAGGTGAGGCATCAGTGAGGTTATTTAGTAAAGGAAAGCCTTTAACAGCGCCTGGCGGGTATAGTGCTTAGTAAGTGTTAGCACGGTTATTGATTCAAAAAACATTAATCGGTTACTGATTCAAAAAAACATTAGACACCTGGTAGATGCTAGGAACTGTGCCCACGGGGGATGTACCGGTTCGAACCCCGGTCTTCCCCGGCGCGAAAGGAAACTTGCCGCCTACAGCCAGCTGGGGTTTCAGACGGAAGCACGTGGGTGGACTCTGCCCCGCATCCGCGGCCCCCCTCTTCTGGGCCTGCGCGCTAGCGTATTAAGGACCCCGAGAAAGGAGACCACCCCGAGAGCTCCGCGTGGACTGGGGGACGCTCCTCCTCGTCCCGACTCCTGTCCCTTCTCCCCCACTCGGTAAATTCCACCCTGTCGCTTTAAGGAATCTCTCGCCGCGGCGCGTTGGGAAGCCCGGATGCGGTTCTCTGATTGGGCGGGGCGGCTCGGTGACTTCACTCCCGCTACAAAAGGGCCCGGGTGGCGGGTGCCGGGGCAGAGCGTCCTAGCAGTGTCACGGCGTGGGTTGGCTTGAGGGGAGAAGCGTGAGCGAGCGCGTTGCCCGGAGTGCACCTGCTACCTGTCCTGCCCAGCCAAGGAGTCCCCGCCGCCCTCGCCCCCGCCGTCGAGCCGCCATGGAAGTGCAGAAGGAGGCGCAGCGCATCATGACTCTGTCGGTGTGGAAGATGTACCATTCGCGCATGCAGCGCGGTGGCCTGCGGCTGCACCGGAGTCTGCAGCTATCGCTGGTCATGCGCAGCGCCCGAGAGCTCTACCTCTCAGCCAAGGTGGAAGCCCACGAGCCCGAGGTGCCCTTGTCCCCCGTCCGCTCCCCTGATCCTCGCCTGCACCAGGCGCGGGAAGCGGAAGCTGTAGCCGAGGCAGCGCCCCCCGACGGTGAGCAGCCCTCCCCGGAGCCCATGGACACGCGGGAGGCGCCGCGAGCCGAGGAGACCCCAGCCCGCTGTGCCCCGCGCCCCACAACAAAAGTCAGCCGAAAGCGGCGGAACAGCAGCCTGAGTGACGGCGGGGACGTCGGACTGGTCCCAAGCAAGAAAGCCCGTCTTGAAGAAGAGCAGGAGGAAGGAGCCTCTTCGGAGGTCCCTGATCGCCTGCAGCCACCTCCCGCGCAAGCCGAGGGCGCTTTCCCCAACCTGGCGCGCGTCCTCCAGAGGCGCTTCTCGGGCCTCCTGAACTGCAGCCCCGCCACCCCCCCGACGGCGCCGCCGGCGTGCGAGGCGAAGCCGGCCTGCCGCCCGGCGGACAACATGCTGAACGTGCTCGTGCGGGCCGTGGTGGCCTTCTGAGGGTCCCCGTGCGGCGCTACCGGAGCCCAGAGCGCGGGCCGAACCGTCGGCCGGAGTGCGCAGACCCGAGGCGAGGCCCACCCCCGGGGGAGGGCCCGCCGAAACCGTGGAGAGGAGCTGCCGCCCGGGCTGCTGAGAGGCCTGAAGAGGGACTCTGCCCCCGGAGAGCCGTCGCCGCCTCTGTGCAGCGACCGCGCCGAGGAGCCTGAGCCGGGAGCGCGAGCGCCTTCCGCCGAGACCTGCTGCGCCCACAGGTGCTGTCTAAACGGACTGGGACGTGGACCTTTCCCTCTCCTTCTGGGACTGGGAGCAGGGAGGCTTGGTTCTTGAAACTCCTCAGGGTCGGACTTTTATTTTTTACTGGGAGCTGTGCTGCCCTTTCAAGGTTTTTCAATAGTTGGTGTTTGCATTTCCAACCTCAGAGAATTCCAGGCAGGCGCTCCCCTTCCCCCACCCGTGGCATACTTGTGCAAGCGGTCATCGTTGCGTCATGGGGCAGACGTGGGGAGCTTCCTGTTGCCTTGCGTGGGTGTGGGGCCTGGGAGGAGGGTCTGGGGTGTGGACCGCCCTGGGGAATGGGAGGAGGGCGTCCTGAGTCACCTCGCCCCGCTTGCTGCGGGTTTGTGCCCCGCGCCCCTGCGCCTTCGGCTGAATAGCGGGGGGAAGGGTCGGGGGCCGATCTAATTTCAGGTTACAGTTTTTCTCACCTGGTGCGTTGGAGGTGGGAAATGGTCACAGTCTCAACCGTGACCATCCCTCAGACACACAGACACAACAACCCAGACGATCCTGGTCTGAATCACAAAAATTGGTGGGGGTGTTTAGAGCGCTGTAAGGCTGAGCTGGGACCAAGTTGCTGGTGGGACTGGGCCAGTGTGGGGAGGGGAAGATTCTTGCCAGGGCGTTCTGAGGCCTGTTTACCTTTACTGTGGTGGATTCTGTTTAACTTCATCTATCTGGCCTCTTGCTAGAAACGCCAGATAAAATAAAAGACCATTTGAATAAAGTCTGTGCTGCCCGTCTGGTTTTCTTCCCTGATGGGGGAGGGGCAGGGTTACGGGGTCAGGAGCTGGCGGCGCCTTGCTGGGGCCCCAGAAACCGGTCCGACCGGCTATCACGTGGGCAGAGTGGGCGGGATGGGGCTGGGCCCCCTTTTCTTTGCCAGAGCGTTTCCGTGCTGGGTGCCCTGGTGTTCCGGACTCCTTAAGCTCCCCCATATTTGGGAGTTTCTTCGAAATTCTACAACTCCAATGGGGTGGGCTTGCCGAATCTGAGAGGTTTAGGGGAAAATACTGTTGGGTACGGTGCCCCAGGCGGAATTGGGAGGGCCACGCCTCCTTTGGAGACTCTGGAAGGATGGCGGATCCCCCCCACCCCCCACCCCCAGTTGACCAACTGAATCCGCTTTGGCGGGGGCCCCACGGCTTGCGGGGCAGCGGAGGTGAGCTTTGGAGCGCCCTTTACAACCCTGTTCTAATCTCTGGCGGTATAATTGTGTGACTCAGGCTGGGAGGTGAGTTCCCAGTCTCAGTTTCCTCATCTGTGAAGTGGGCCCCTAAACAGCTTTCCCTCGAGGCGGCTGTAGATTTAGAAATGGCCCGTGAGAGCCCTAGTGATTTGCTTTGGCTCCATCCCAGCTCCATTTCGGTCACCCCAGAGGAGAAAATGCTCATAATTTACCCACTGCTGATTTAAGAGAGGGACTGTAAGGCGTTGCCCCAGGGCCGGTGGCGGGGTGGCTGTTGGGAGGACAAAGGAGCCGCAGGTGCGCGCGGTGAGGGCGGCGGGAGGCTCCGGGAAAGCGGCCGCCCCGCCTCCAGGCGTCTGGCTCTGGCGCTGCGAGCCTTCCGCGACCCCGGGGGACCTGACCCCGAGGCCCTAGGGTGGAAGGAGGAGGGTGCGGTGGAGGGCGGACCCGCCCCAGAACGCCCTCCTCCGGCTCCCCTCCTGCCTCGTCCACCCACCCCATTCCCCACTCCCCACTCCCCGCCTCCCTCAGGGTTCCCCCAGGGGAACCTAGCCTCCCTCGCCTCCACGGCCCCCTGATTCTTTCCTGGGAAACATGGGAGACTTTAGCGCCACCCACTCGGGGTCTTGACCCGTAACTCCCCGGAGGGACGTTGGGTGGCGGGAACCCCACCCCCCTGCGGCAGTTCAATGCGTTCGCGTGGGAGCAACTCCCCCGAGAGCCTAACCCGCTCCGGGAAGTCCCTGGCGGCTTGGGGAGGGGGCCTCACTGTGCATCCTGTCGCAGGAACCTCCTGGCCCTTCCTTCCTCCGGGGGAAGCGGCCTGGCCGATCCCCGCCCCTGCCTCCCGGGGGGTTTTCCGGGCTGGGGGCTGAAGGTGATGCGGTGGGAGACAGGAGAAGCACCCCCACACACTTCCCTTTAAGATATAGCCCTTCCCGAGACCCCCATTTCACCCTTCAGAATAGGCAACATTTGTCACAATAACCAACTCTGAGGATGTTTGGAGTTTTCACACCTTTACATGGCATTGGATTATTGGGGCAGACCCTCGGGGGGAGTAATCAATGGGACAATAGCTGTGAGAACAAAAAATGTCACATATCCCTTGACCAGTGGATTCTCCAGGGACCCCCAGGCCTGCAGCAGGAGGCTCCAGAACGGTGTCTACAGCGCTGTCCAAACTGGCACAAACTGGAAACAACCTACATGCCCATCCAACCCGACTGGTCTGGTAGAATGTGGACTACCCATGCCTCCCCAGAGAATAAATGGCCTGAGTGGGACAGGTCTACACACCCTGGCAACACGGATACCTCCGGGCCAGGATGCTGAGTGACAAAGGCCAGCTATAGAAGTTGTGGGGGCAGAACACCGATACTGGAGCCAGACTACCAGCTCTTCTTGCTGGCTGTGCAGCATTGAGCAAGTCACCGCACCTCTCTGGGCCTCAGTGTCCCCGGCTGTAAATTGTGGACAATAACAGTCCCTACCTCTCAGGTTCATTGCGAAGAGGAAGTGAGATACTAGTATAAAGTCCTTAGTGGAACGCCTGGCACACCGGAAGTGTTATTTTATTATTGTTAGAACCCAGGATGATACAGTGCCGGCCATTTAGGAGCACATACAGCCCTATGGACATATAGGTAATGTGTATACAGATGCTGTGCTCATCCCAGAGAGCTGGAAAAATAGTTCCTGCCTCCAGTAGCTCGGTGTGAACAAGGGTCAGCCTCCCCTCTCAGCTCCAGAGTTCGGTCTCATCCTAGTGATTTTTTTTTTTTAAAGATTTTATTTTATTTTATTTATGTGAGAGAGAGAATGAGATAGAGAGAGCATGAGAGGCGGGAGGGTCAGAGGGAGAAGCGGACTCCCCGCTGAGCAGGGAGCCCGATGCGGGACTCGATCCCGGGACTCCAGGATCATGACCTGAGCCGAAGGCAGTCGCTTAACCTACTGAGCCACTCAGGCGCCCCTCATCCCAGTGATTTGACAGGGTTGACTATTCCCTCTTCCGGGCCCCCCACACTTCCAGTTTCCATCCCCCTCAGGCCATGGGCCTCTGTCTACACTCACCCCTTGGTAGGTAGTCTCATTCAGTCTTAAGGCTCTAAACGCCATTCCATGCTGACTCCCATACTTCGCTCTCCATCCTGGACCGGTCCCCCCCAACCCCCCAGACTTTCTGTCCAACCCCCCTCCCCGTGTCTCCTTGTGGGGCACTAAGGTATTCCAAACATAACAAGACCCAAAGAGGATTCTGGCTGTTTCCTGGCAGCCTCCCAACTGAGGAATCCTCCTTGAGTCCCTTTTTCTCCTTCCCTCACACGGCACCCAGTCACAGGTGCTGTCGACTTGACCTCTCATCGCACTCCTCTCTACCCACCTTCAGGACTCCCATCCTCGTGTAAGCTGCCGTCACCTCTCACCTGGATCAGGGCAGTGGCTTCCTCCCTGCCCTTGTCCCCACAATCTATTCTACACGGCAGCTACAAGGATCTTACAAAATGCAAATTGGATCATTTCACTCTCCAGCTCCCCTCCCCTTCATCCACAGTGGCTTCCTTCCTGCTCGGAGAACAGGCCAAGCATGGTCCACCCCAGGGTCTTTGCACTTGTTGTTCCTTCTGCCTACAGTGCTCTTCTCCCAGACACCCACCCATCCATCCTTACTTTCTTCAGATTTCTGCTGCAAAGTCACCTGCTCGGAGTGGTCTTCTTTGGCTACCTGATCTAAAACAGCTCCCCATTCTGCCACTCTGCTCCTTTGCCCCTCTTCTTGGCCTTCCTTAGGTCACTGCCCACCATGTGAAAGGGTAGATTTATGTTCTAGTTAGTTAGCATCTGTGCCCTCATTTGAATGTCACTTCCACGAATGCCCAACACGGGCCTGAAAAGAGTGAATGAGGCTGTCTGGGGTAAGCAAGTGCTAAGTGCTTAATATTTATTGTCTCATTTAATCAGTGGCTTCTCGTGACTCTTAGAATAGAATTTCCCAAATTTCGGACAGTTGTGACAGGCAGGATTTTTGTCATATCTCCATACCGACTGTACTATTTACCTAAAATTTTTTCTTAAAGCAACTCACTTGTTAATCACTAACCATACTTAGAAGGTAACAGTTAATGAAAGTTACAGTGAAAACAAAACAATGTCATAAGATCCTGCTGAAACAGACAGCTTTCTTAGGAAGGGAGATTAGCAAGAGTTAAAGACACATTATTAGGATAGGGAGTGGCCTATCTTTAGTCAGAAAACTAGGTGAAGACTGAAAGCTGAAAAGAGGGAAACTGAGGGATTCATTCTCTTCCTTAAATATTAGCATTAAATCACTTTGCCCACTGTTCCAAGGTTAGGAAAATTCTGCTTCTGGAAGAGAGACAAAGCTACAAATGCCCCCCATTTTGGTCCAAGACTCCTGTTTACTGACACTCAGATCAAGAGCTACTTTTTTTTTTTTTTGGTAGTATCACAGTTGCAATTTTACATTCGTTTCTGGGTTTGTCTCTTCTAGCCTATGGCCTCCATGCGAGGGCAGAAACAAGTCTAGCAGGTGCTTACTAAGTGGTTTTTGTGAACGAATGATGCATTTGCAACTCTCCTTTGAGATCGGTCCTCTGAACTCCACTTTTTACGGATCGGGAAACTGAGGCCAGAGAGGATCGCCCTGCAGGAGAGCACGTAGGGGACAGCTCTAGTCGTGCCCACCATCCCAAGATCCCCTCCCCTCTCCTCTGGGCAGGACAGGCGCCCCGCTGAAGCCTCCGCAGAGCTGGGAAAGGGCTGGGCCACAGAAGCAGCACCCAAACCGGTTTACCCGGTTCCAGGAACCTGGGCGAGGTCCGCGCGTCGGAGAAGGGGAGACGCAGGCCTTGGCCAGGCGGGGTGAGGACCGGACTCGAACTCCGCGAGTAAATTTGAATCCCAGGCAGGGCTGTCAGGGTCCGTAACTGGCCACAACGCGGGGCGGAGCGATCTGGGTGTCGATCACAGACGGGGGCGGGACATAGGAGTTTACCCCCGTCTCGCGCTCTTCTCCCGTCCCGCCCCTGCGCGCTAACACCAAGTGACTTCCAAGAACTCCCGGTGTAGTGTGTGACCCGGGCCACGCCCCTGGCCCCCAAACCGGTCCCTTCCGGAACCCGCCCAGGCCCTCCGCGCCTGGCCCCCCACCCCCAAGCACGCCCCGCGGATGCAGGGGCGGGACTTAGGGGCCGCGCCGGAAGGCGGAGGCAGCGCGGGGTGCGTCTGGGGCTGGGGGCCCGCCCGGAATCAGGTAAATCGCGGAAAAAGCGGAAGGGAAATGGGGATTGCCAGAGTTTGAGGCTCACGCTCCCCACCGTCGTCGTGGAGGCTGCTGAAACCCCCATGTGTCCAGAGGAGCCCAGAGCCCCACACCAGCGTCCAGGGGGACCAGAGCCCCCACACCAGTGTCTAGTGGAGCTCAGATCCACATACCTACGTTCGGGGGAGCCCACACCTTCCCCACCTTGTGTCCAGTTGCTCTCACTAGGGTACTTCTGTTTCCTGAGG